CCTACGTAGCCTGAAGGCAGGCAAGGTTCTTTGGGTAGATGTGTCATCTTTCATGAGACCAACTGAGTAGTTGGGAAAAAGTTCTTAGCAAGCTTTTGGGCGCAGTCACCTGTGGTCAGGCATAGGGAGCCTCTGCTGGTCTGAAACTCCAAGGAATGAGAGAAGCTAAAAGTGTGGAGGGATGTCAGTGAAAATGTAAATAGGTAGAGATAAGCAAGACAAAAGGCAAAGCAGGGAGGAGGAAGAGAGCAGGGGGACAAAAAGTCAGAGGGAGGCAACAGAGATAAAATACAAGGTGAAAAAGACGAGCAAGGTTCTTTGAGTTGATGTGATATCTTTCATTAGACCAAGTAGTTGGGAAAAACTTCTTGGCAAACTTTTGGGCGCAAGCACCCTTCTTCAGGCATAGGAGGGAGTCTCTGCTCTTCTGTGACTTTTTCTTGGAGTCTCAGAACAACAGACTCCCTATGCCTGAAGAAGGGTGACTGCACCTGAAAGCTGGCCAGGAACTTTCTTTGAACTATTCAGTTGGTCTAATAAAAGATAGCACATCGACTCAAAGAACCTTGCCTGCCCTATGTCCTTAGGCCAACACAGCTACAACCAAAACCCCAGTAAGGTGAAAAAGAGAGAGTCTGTGAAAAATGGAATAGTTAGCGATGAGGAAAGCAGGGAGCAGTTAAAAGTGTGACAGGATGTCAGTGAAAATATAAAAGGGTAGAAGTAGGAAAACAAAAGGTACAGGAGAGGGAAGAAAACAGGGGACAAAAAAGGCCAAAGAGAAAACACTACAGAGGTAATAATACAAGGTAAAAAGAGGCTATCAATAAAAAGGAAATGGTAGGGAACTGGAAAGAAAAAGGGCAGAGGGGAGGGGAGGAGAGAAAATGTGGGGGGAAAAAAGGAAAGTAAGAGGTCAGGTCAGGCAGGTACCATGTGAATTGGATGCCAGGCAGGTTGTAGTGTGTCATAAATCCAATGTCTATATCGAGTCCATGATTTTTAGGCTCGTCTACGAAAGGTGCATTGTAAATTCCCTTTGAGGATTACAGTTGAGAGATGGGGAGGGACTGATTGTCCTGTGGGAAGTGTGCCCCCACAGGCAGTTGGGTATTCGTGTCTTTGATCGAATTCCGGTGTGCATTCATTCTGGTGCACACTTGTTGTTTGGTTTCTCCTACACACCTTTTGTAGGTGAGCCTACAAATTTCACTTCATCAACCTCCTAGATACTAAAAATCATGCACTTAATATAGACATTGGATTTATAACCCATTACAACCTGCCTGACATCTGATTCACATGGTACCTGCCTGACCTGACATCTTACATTCCTTTTTTCCCCCCACACTTTCTCTCCTCCCCTCCCCTCTGCCCTTTTTCTTTCCATCGCTAACTATTCCATTTCCCCTACCTTTTCCCCTACCTTTTCTCCCCTCTCCTCCCCCACTTCTCTGTCATTTTTCTTCCTGTTTCCCTACCATTTCCTTTTTATCGCTAGCCTCTTTTTTACTTTGCATTGTTACCTCTGTAGTGTTTTCCCTTTGGCCTTTTTTGTCCCGTTTTCTTCTTCCTCCTTTGCCTTTTGTTTTCCTACTTCTACCCTTTTATATATTCACTGACATCCTGTCACATTTTAGCTTCTCCCATTCCTGC